TCATTGTTGTTGCGTTGGCACCATGCTTGTTTTCAAGCCGGTGGTAAATATATATATATAATACACTTGATCGGAATACGTTACTCTAATCTTAAAGTCTAGAAGAGCTATATTTAAATGTCATGAAGGGTTTAAAACAATACATTTGAGTGTTTGAAGTTATGATCAGTCGCGAGGCATCGGTTGATACCACATCCATCGGGTGGATTGTGGGAGCGGTTCTATAGGGGATAGACAAACAGACGCATGGATAGATAGATGGATGGATGGATAGATAGATACTGGTTACTACCGCGAATATAAATTTTAGCAATCAACCGGTGAAAACACACGGATCTAAAAAATTATCGTTTTTGAAACCTCCACTCTGCAGTGGTGATATCGTATTGCTTGTTACACTCCCGCGCATCGTCGTTGTGATTTAGTATGCTCGAACAATCATTATTTTACCATATATTAATCCAGGTTATTTATTTAGTAAGGATTTGTTGAGATACAGAATTGATTCCGGAAATAAGGTATGCAACTGTGTTTACTCTATGAATTGTCTTTCCGTAATTTCATTCAATGAATAAAAACAACACGTCTATGGAGACATGCGTAATTTGAAGACTCTCAAAATTAAATTAGATGTCATATTGAAAACCATATTGGATGGAAACGTTTTGTGATAACCGACAAACAACACTGGATAACTGTTTGGGACTCGTCAGCGGTGCGTACTTTTTCTGTCCTCCTCGGGACTCGAACCGCGAACGTTCAGGTCGAGACTTCAAACCCTTGCCCTTACGGTCGATGGTCACCACATTGTGCGAATGGCTCCGTCAGTTTGCACGGTAAATGCTTGGATTAGCCTATTCGGTTTTTCACGGGCACCAGGCATTGTTGATGATCTTGGGTCTGAGTCCCCAAACAGGACAAAACATCTGTCAGGTGCGATTCTTGTCGTTCATCACAAACATTTCTATCACACTTGAATACATTCGACTAGTGGAGAATTAACGATCTCCCACGGAGTGAAACTCACACCCAAGCCCATCAATAGTACCTGGTATCTCGGAACAATCGAATGGGCTAATCCAAACTTGATAATCTAATTCTATGTGAACAACTTTTGGAGTCCATCAGAAATGATGCTTATTAGGAATGAGAACGGGTTAAAACTCAAATACCAATTGGATTATCCTAGCTAATTGTATGACCCACATGGATCTTCACTGCATCTCGGCTCTGTCGTTTGTCTTTCATGTGTACACATAAAGTTACTATTTTTCTTACATGAACTCCTTCGCCCATATTGATTTAGGCATTGATTTGGTAAAAATTACGTGCAAGAGATTGTTGACTTCCTCCAATTGGAATGGAAACAGTCAGTGATTAGTTGTACTAAATGTAAATGAATCCTGAACGGACAGCGTGGACTATTTATTATACGATAGACAAAACTAGGTAAATCCTAGTGCCGAAATTCCCAAGTTCTCATTCAGTACATGATGTAAAGGGCACATGATTTTTGTTTTTTATTGTTTCTTATTCCTGCACACAAAAAGACAATCATGGGTATTAACCTTTCAGTGTCAAGGTGAAGGTAACACTGGTTAGATAGATAGAGGTCGGAGGAGCAAGAAAGATCGGTTGTCGCTGTTGTTGTTGTTGTTGTTGTTGTTGTTGTTGTTGTTGTTGTTGTTGTTGTTGTTGTTGTTCATACACGAAGTTCGCAAAAACCGCACATGTGTTCCCGAGGACCAAATTAGCAACCAGAGAAAATAAGTGTGTAGTCAAAATAGGGCACGATGTCAATCGGTGACGGGCACCAGGTATATGAAAGTTCATGTACTATTTGGGTATAAATAGCCTAATCGATAGTCTACTTCTCTCAGAAACCGTGTGATTTTTTCGTGATGTAGTGATAAACGTAATGTCTACGAACTGCGTGAGTAGTTTAAATGCGATGGCAATGTTTGTGATAGCCAACAAAGAGCGCAATGAACAGCTGTTTCCTGTCCTGTTTGGGACACGTCAGTAGTGCGTCCTTTTTGTGTGTCCCTGTCCGGACTCGAACCGCGGACAGTCGGGTCGGGACTTCAAACTCTTACCCCCTGAGCTACACGGTCGACGGTTATCACCTTGTGCGAATGGCTCAATCAATTTGCACGATGAATGCTTGGATTAACCCAGTGGGGAATTAACGATCTCTCAAAGAGTAAAACCCTCACCGAAGACCATCAAGAGTGCCTGGTGCCTCTGAACAATCGAATGGGCTAATCCAAGCTTGATACTCTGCACGAGAAGTTCTTCTGGGGATATTGACCACAAATCTCCGATTCACATTTCATTTATAGCTACTCATGTGTAGTAGTAAGTGGTTTGATGTTCGTTTGAATTGATCACTCCTTTGATTTCATCTTCACTCACAGTTTTCAGCCCATTCAGTCAATCAGGCAGTAACTACGGAAGAATCAAACTGGAGCTTGTCTCCTGTTCGTACAGCGGTTCCACACCAGCACATTCGATGAGATAGTGTTTCCAATCCCTTAAATAACAGCGGTTATCAACCATGGATGCATGCAAGCGTTTCATCACCAGCCGCGATCACATCATTAGTGGCCACTTCACTAGTACTGGCAGTGTCACCTCGGTTGATGGGGGGAACGTTTGCAAACAAGCTCTGCGAACAGGCGAAAGGGAATTCAATTTTCCCCGAGCTACGAGAACCGATTTTCTACACTTTTTCAAAAGTATCTGATATGTGAATTGCCTTCTTACACTCATTTATGAAACCTTTTCGGCATGTACACTTTGTTGCCTGTTTGTACTGAGCAAACCATAGACCATGTGACATTCTTGTTCACTTCCTTGAGTGTAATGTCAAATCTCACAATTTGACGGCGAGAGTTCTGGCCCTAACGCATTTATGATATGAATGAAGTGTCACGGAACAATACTCAAAATCCTGGTTGCTTGTATATATATATGTGTGTGACCCAGTCAACCCACTCAATAATCACTTGCGGGCGAATTTTCATCATTCGCCAAGGAGTGGATAAAAAAGCGCTTCACATCCGACAGGTTAATTACATGCGATAAATTTGACTTCTCTAGGGCACAAAATTCGATTCCGTGATCGGACCGGATATAGATACATATATGTATATGCATATCGAATTTCATGAACCCAAATATGTATATATACAAATAACTACTCTCGAAAAAGAATACACAAACCGGATTTACGCAATAAATACTTTTTATGCTCTATACCATGCAACTTGATTGACCATATGCACAGGGTGGTAAACGAAACCGGTGAGCAGGGGTCGTAGTTCGATTTTGTCTACTTAAATTATTATCAGTAGACAACTACTTGTCGCTTCAATTTAAATGGTGGATGTTTCTTCGAGTGCGGGTTACACTGAATCATTCAGTGAATTCAATCACTACGAGAGGCAACAGAGGGCAATGGTGCAAGTGACAGGTGTGCAGAAAGTGTATCGATTGTTCTAGACCGCAATATCTCATATATTTTGCAACAAACTTAAACAAGAAAAACATTCCATGCCTCAAGGATCACTAACCAGTTCAGTCTCCAACAGTTCGTGAATTTCCTCTCGCAATAATTGAGCTGATGCTTGATCGTCCAACCCTGGACGCCAGTTACTATCTGTTCGTTTACGATGCGCGGCCAATTCAAGCAACGTGGTGCCAAACGTTGGCCGTGGATTCACATCGACGTTCGTCGTGGTGGTGTCGTAGTTTTCACTTTGTTTTAATTCGAACGCGCCATTTTCATCGTTCTCCGATTTCTGAAATGGGAAAGCAAATTATGCTCATTTTGGGACCAGATTTCTATGGAGAAAAACTTGATCACACATGCCGCTGATGCCCGACTATCCGCTTCGTCACATTGTCATTAGGGTTAACAAGGCTAAAAAAAATAGTGCAATAAAAGCTCAGTCACACTAACGAGTGAGCACTAATGTGTGGGTTAATCGATATTGATTGATTAGAACTGACCATTGACTGCAGACTTCACCTCCAATCACAATCCACAGTTCTTCTGGTCTACTATACACTTGGGGGCACTATACTCTAGTTTCATTCCTATTAGAGCTCATCAGTAATGCATATCTATCGTCCCGGGGTTTGAACTTCGGACCCATTTTATCGAATGCGTATGTTACCAATGTGTCAACCAAGCAATATTGTTAGTGCACACTTTCGTGTGAAGAACAGCAGATGAGGAAAACCCCATAGTCACGAGGAACTGCTGTCCAGTGATGGAGATTGATAACCTAAACCCCGCGGGACTTGGAGTGGTGAACCACATAAGGCCCCGAAGGGTCAGGTGTGGTATTGAACCGGGCAACAGCAGAGTTACTCGAACCTCGGACTATAGGGTCCAAAGCACGCCTGTGACAGCAGCCAAACCACTGGCCCATCACCAGGGTTAAACTAAATCGACAATTCCTGCTTGTTCAGGTGGCATCCTCAGAGATAGTCAATTGGCCTGAAAACAATGAGACGAGACACAGTTTACTTTCTGTTAACTCCAATCGAAAGCTTCCCATTAAATCAGACTTTTCATACAGGTACCGGATAAGTAATTCACATTTAACTCACAGTCAATTGTGAGTAAAGTGAAGTTAAAATCCCGGATAGGACGTTTGGGATTCATTACTGATGAGCGCAAACACGAGGGAAACTCGAGTCTAGTGCTTACGAGTATACATACGGTTGATCGGAAGAGCTGATGAGAAAAATGCACTTTCTAACTGAATTAGTCTAGATTTCTGCCCGCCATTGTGAAACCTGGTCCTTTTTTCATCACCACAGAGATAGGATTGTCAGGTATTCACATATCAGCATGAAACGAAACTAAAAGAAGAGGCATAGATTGAC